GGCGGCTAGGGTGGCCTATACCATACCATTAAGGCTCTGTCTAGAACTTCCACATAAGTAGGCAATTTCAGGACGCCCACTCGATCAAACACGTCTAGATCCAATCCTCCTTCAAACTTTCGTGCTTTCTTGTAATTAGTATCCACCATATGTGGAGCAAACCGTGCCAGTTCGGTGAATTTAGCTTCATATTCTGCCACAGATATGCTTCCCTATTTGTGTTCTTGAAATTCAGACACTTTCCGATCCCTGAAACATTGGGGAAAATACTTGTCGTAGAAGATAGCATTAAACTGTGCCCATGTCATATTTCCATTACCACTTCGGATCAGTAACCACCACTTGCGGGCTTTATCTTTCATAGTGTAGGTGGCTAGGAGGACTTTCTGAGTTTCAAAACAAGGAAATACTTCATACAATTTTTCCATCTCAAGCAACCACGTCTCAGCTTTCAAAGGTTCAATTCCACCATAGAACGTTGGCGGTCAACGGCTTCAATTTTCTGAGGGTTAACAGAAACTCCATCCTTGTTAACCCTCAGACGCAGAAATGCCACACTATCAATTGTCTCTGTTGTTGTGTCCAGGCTTCAGTCAATGCTGCTAACATCTGTTCCATTCGGCCCATGCGAGCCTCTGAAGATTCACTTTCACCACTTCCCCTTGCATTCTCCATCTTACTATACAGACATCAAATGATAATAAACACAAGCATAATATTATTCGTTTCCTTCAATTCATTTGATTCAAAGGTATATCCAGTTTTCATATTCAGTTGCATTACCACATACTCACACATGCAGATGAAATGCCCCTAACTCTTACTAGGACATCTTAAGCTCATACGGACCTGTGTGTGCGGTAGAACACGTGCTCTGATACCACTCTGTCACGACCCAAACCCGTCCCTGTAGGTTTAGCACTGTAACCGGCCAGTAATCCGTGGATTACCAAAGGCCTCTGAACAGATTAGCAAATAATAAGGGGCCACAGAAACAATAATACAAAATAGACGAGGTCCAATGAGTTGTGATAACGTACATGGGACAGCATTTCAAAACTTATTTATATATACATAAACATGCCAGTCCAGATACACAATATTTACAAGGTATTCACAGATTGTACTTCCCAAGACCTGACTTTACAGAACATACACAAGACTAGCATGAATACAAAAACAGCCATGGCTTTGGGCTTCGTTCGAAACCTCCTCGGGAGGCACAACAGTTGGCTGACAAAAACAGAACAGAAGGCCGTCAACTCTAGCCCTGGTCATGTGCCGGCTCACCTACATACATAATATAAACTGTGAGCGAAAGCCCAATGAATAATAATAGAGTAAAGGGTTTCAATGAATGAGTTCATACAGATTCAGAAATCATAATTCAGTTTCATATCAAAATCATAGTTTATCCAGATCATATACAGACAGAAATCATAAGTCATGATTAAGTTTACGTGATACATCCATTAGCATTAACAGAATAGAACAGAACAGAACAGAACGTATGCACGTGAGGTTACGAATAACTAGTTCCATAAAGGAACCTCCGGATCCGGGCAACAGAACAGAACAGAAGCTGAGCCCCCGTGACAGGGCCTCTGGTACAGGTAACAGAGTGCAGAGAGAAATAAGTTCCATAAAAGAACCTCCGATACCGGGTAACAGCTAACAGATATCACATGATGCTAAGGATGTCACGAATACATATCAGAAATTAAACAATCATTCATTGTATAGAACATATCATTTCGGAAAAACAGATCTTATTTTATCACACAGAAAGTAGATACAGTTTGAACATAACTATACTAAATTATTACTCACAGTTGGCCTTGAAACAGACAGACGGAGCAGATTGATCACACGGTACGCGGCATGTGACCTACATAACACATAACAGACACACACTTGAAACACACATTCTAATTGCACAAAACTTATGTCGATGGTTCTTAGTGTGTTTCTAACCTTAAATCCTCACTATAGAGTCTTAAACATGGCCTAGGAATGCCTAGGATGGAATGAGGATGCAAAGATGTCTTGGAAAATATTTTTCAAAACTTGCTGAAAACAGGGGTCTCGCTCGAGCGTAGCTTCCGTCGCTCGAGCGAGCTTGTCAAAATAGAGGGGTCGCTCGAGCGTAGACTCCTTCCCTCGAGCGGTCTGTAAAAAATGCAAAAGTACGGGTTGTTGAAATTTTACGCTCGATGCTCGCTCGAGCGTGAGACACAGCTCTTCGCTTGAGCGTAGGTCTCATCGCTCCAGCGTGCGTCTGCGTGCACCAAAAACCTGAGAGCTTGCAATTTACGCTCGAGCCACCATTCCTTCGCTCGAACGAAGCTCTGAACAAACGATGGTCGCTCGAGTGTGGAATCCTTCGCTCGAGCGAGGAAGCCAAATACTGGAATTTCCAGATTTGCCTCCCAAGCTCAAACCAAGCATTCAACACCTCAAAACTCGACCTCTTGGGCCCATTTTCTGGAATACACTTGTGAACTCATAGTATAAGATGTTTCAAAGATCAATTTGTAAAATCAAGCCCAAAGGTGAGTCAATTAAACACAATTTCAAATAAAACTTCAAGAACAAAACTTAAATGTAGCATGCATGAATTCTCATGAATTCTAATGCTCCAAAACATGATCTAAAGCAAGATTAAGCTCAAGAATAGGATGAATTCATGGACTATAACAAAAATGTGGACATACATGTGAAAATTCATGAAGAACAACTCCAAAATCCAAGAATATGTGCATGCATGCATGAATTCACTCTCAAATCCAACTCTTAAAACCAATTCTAGACTTTAAACTCTAATCTTCCATGAACCATGTAAAAATTAATCTTAAATTCACAATTGAAAGGGGAATCTCCTACCTTAAGTCTTTAAGTTCAAGGTGTGCTAGCTCAATTGTGTAGTTCTTCTACAAATCCTCAATTTCCAAGCCAAATTCTTAATGAAACCAAGTTTCTCTCACTCTCCCTCTTTCTCATGGCTTGCCACAAGAAGATGAGCAAAGATGCATCCAATATGTAATAAAGCAAAATAAAGGTTGTCTAGACTCAAGCCACTAAGTGGCAAACTTGTAATAACTCAAACAAGTGTAAATTAACATGATTTAATCTAATTTAATCGCTCCAAACCGAATTTTAATTAAACCTACCATAAAATTCTATAAATCCTAACTAGCACATAAATCAAGTCAATTTCTGATTCGAACGCCGATGAGGCTTCCAATTCGCAAACCGAAACTAAAACGTGAACAGATCATTTTATGGCAAACAGATAAAAACACAAAGATAATGCAATACATATGCAATTTAATTCTGGATTCCTTCTAAATTACTGTTAGGCATAAATAATCATAGTTTAGCATTAATCGGAGGTCGGGTTATGACATTTATGGCTGCAACGAATCAAGGAAATAAGAGTGATTGTCGTGGTGGTCGTTGTAAATTGATTTAGGCTCTGAACCTACATCCGAGGATGAATCCACCATTGTCGCCAGTCTTCTTTTGGTAATCTGAGTCGATTTGTGATTGTGATAGTATCGATGGACAAGACTAATGTATGAGATGGTTGTAGCTTGTGTTGGATATCACCCCATGTGAGGGGTGATCTGTTTAGCTCCATATGAGCAGTGGTGTATGCGAAGGATGAAGAAGTCAAGAATGGCGACACCAAATTTGGCGGAGTACGACGCATTCGGGAAGCTGTCAGTGGCGCCAGATTTGGTACAACAAATTTGAAGTGATTTGTGGGATAGTGTTGGCCAGCATTCTTCCTTCCTTGGTATATAAATAAAGAAGCTAGGGGGTGAGCTCATAGTGTGAGAAAACTAGTGAGAAAATGTAGAGAGAAAACAAATTCTCGTTGTGGTAGAGAGTGAGCTCCCTCGGTGTGAGAAAGGAAGTTATGTGGGAGTTGAGTAAGAGAGTCTCCTCCTTCATTGTGTAATTCTCTTTGTATTTCATCTCCATTGATTTAGTGTAAATGATTTCTCTCCCGTGAACATGAGCATTGGGCCGAACCACGTTAAATATTGTATTTCCTTTATGTGTTTGTATAGTTTTTTTACTTGGTATGATTTCTCGAAAGTCTTGGGTAGGATCCCAGATCCCCAACAGCTTGGTAACCCAAATGAGGGATGCGATAAAGAAAGTTGATAATGATTATGTGAAGAAACTCCAACAACGTTGATGACAGATTCATCAAAGGAGGTGGTAGATGAGAAGTAAGGTTGTTTTTACCTTTTCTAGTGTTTCCAAGTATTCTATCTATGAGGCTGATTTTGGGTGGGGAAGACCTGTTTAAATGACCATGAGTACACAACAAATCAAGAATCTAGTTGTTTTCTACCCCACAAGATCTGGTGATGGCATTGAAAGAGAAGACGACTTGGCTAAACTTGAAGCTGACAAAAAGTTCTTAGCATTAGTTTCTCTAACCTCAAATGTTCAACTTCACTTTCTCAGTTCCTTGTAAGATTGGATGCATCCTCCTTAAGGTTCAGTCTGTTACATGGGCTCAGGTATGTGTATAGGGCACGGGTACGTATCCAAGTGTCGGATCTTCCTAAAAACCTAAACCTAAACCTAAGTTTCAGTTGGAGATTAGATGCTGGTGTTCAAGTGTCAAATTCGATTGCTGATGCCCCTTCAAAGGTAAACTTTCTTCTTGTGGGCAGCAGCATTGGATATGATTCTCACCATTGACAATCTTATTGGGCATTGACAGGTCTTGGTTAATTGATGTTGTATGTGTCATAAGGATACGGAGTTTGTTTCTTCATTGTCATATGGAGTTTGGTTAATTTGTTTCTTTTCTATTCTAATATTTATTCACAGTTTTTTAAAATTGAAAATGCTCTGATGCATAAATATTCTCAAAATTCAACAATACCGATCAAATTTCAAATTTACTTTAATACAAGGTGTTATAATAATAACTCTTACAATAAAGGCAATGGTTGAACTCCTTTCCAAGCCAACATAACTGCATCGTACAAGACATATTCAGAGTCAACTTACTTCCTTCCACATTCAACAAAATGTCACACCTTACTATTGTATTTGATCCCTGAAAGAAATAAATGATGAAAAAAAAAATATTCCCTGACAAATAGTATAAAAAAAAAAACTCAGAAAATGCATTGATGCGAGGAACATGGTATATTCAAAACAAATGCACACAGATGACAACTCCAAAGTGTTGCAAAACCCAGAAAAGAAACTACAATCTAAAGTCATCAAGAGATTTCACCAAAGTTGGTAGTAATATAACTACGTCAACTGCTTGTATAACTAACTATTCAGCAAAAGGATATAAGGATTTAATCTTCAAAAGGAAATAACACTCAATAAAAGCACCAAGTGTCCCTTGTCTTCTTATGATTTTTTTTCATTCCATCTCATATTTAGCATCAATTCCAAAAATAAAGATAAGGTTGTGTACATCTTGTCCTCCCTAGACCCTACTTTAATGGAAGTCTTGTGCGCTAAGTTACCTTTTTTTACCTATATCTTGTAAAAAAATCATTGGGAAACAGGAACAACTGTTTTGTTGGAAGTGTGGAAACAAAATGACATTTTGATCCTTGACTAAAAGCAATGGAAAATAAAAATGAAAATGAAAATCATAGCCAACAAGAATAATGCAGGCAGAGAGAGTGAAAGGGAGAGGGATATGCATATCCACATCAAGAACATAAACCACAGAACACTGTACATTCCAGATAAGGAAAATGCACAAGAAAATGTAAACATTGCTTTCACAAAAGTTTTGCATGTTGTGAACTGTAGTGTTCATAATAAACATGGGTTGAAATTTATTGTACATATACAACTACTATAGCAGATCTAATGCTCTTGCATGCAGATTAAATTTTCTAACCTTTCTAATGTTTGGATGCACAAAACATGTTGACAAGATACAACTGGCCAAGAAAATCCTTGCTGTGAAGTGCCACAAAATCCAACCATGTTACCTGTTTAGTACAACACACACCACAGGCTTTAACCGAAACTTCTATCAAACAATTGTCTCCATGGTCCTTCCATATATATTTGTATACTTGAGAAAGAAAAATTAGTGTATCAAAACCCTCAGGGTTTGTTTGATTGGGCAGATTGGAGCATAGGATTGAGATTGTTAATTTATGTGATTCACATTCCATTGTTTGGTTGCAAATTTTAAAATTTAGATTATATTCCAATGGCCATTCTATCCAACAAAATTGACCCATTTTTTTAATCCTACAACTAATAACACAAAACATATATATAATTGAGATTATATGTTTTAATATTTATTGCAAAACAAACGTGGACAAGAGGGAATTGTGTATTTCACTAATCTAGTTGGATAACCAATTCTACACTAATCTGATGGATTATTAATCCCCTCATTATTAATCTTGCTAATCAAACAGACCCTCAAATTATTATTTTAGAATACTAGATGTTGCAAATGATCTCTCATATACAATGTAACACCTCCAAAATAATACGATAAAACCAACTCATGAGCAGAAGAATAATAAAAATGATATGCTTTCATTCATCAGAATTCATTTACAAAAGTTAACACATGCGATATACATTCACAAATGTTTATCCTGAATCTACAACATGTGTTGCAATGTTAAGAGAATTAAAATTAAACATATAGTCATATGCCCTATAGATTTACATCTTTTCAAAGTCATTGCTTGGTTATACAAAAGTGAGCCTAACTCAATATAATTTAAGCTCTTGACTATACAAAAGAATATAACAAAATAAAGAAGCTCTTGTTCCCAAAAGTCCCTCAAAGCTATTGCCTTGGCAGAGACATGTCACCAGCACCTGAAAATGATTTTTTCCAAATAGGGTGAGCCAAAACCCAGTAGAAACAATCTAACACAATAGATGAAATTTAACAAAAATATAAGTATAATGTGCATATACAATGCCGGTGACAAAATATTCACATTTTATATAACTGTAAAACACCAATGCCCCGTTTGTTTGGGATTATAGGGAGGGGATTGAGTTTGATAGTGATGTGGGACTACTATATGGGTATTTGTTTTGAGAGATGGGGAGGCGACTCCTAATCCCTTGGTATCAATAAAGGCCTTGGAAGGGGGATTGGGAAGGAGGAGGTAGAGATGGTATTAGACAAATAGTGAGGGGATTATAAATTTTTTTATTTTTTTTATTTTTTATATATTGGGATTTTTTTTTTAAATATTAATGTTTAATTTTTTATATTTTTTTATTTGTTTTATTATTTTATATAAAAATAATTTAACAATTCCTACACTAACAACTATCATCAAAACAAACAAAATTTTACTTAATCCCCTCACTATCAATCCCCTTACTATTAATCCCCTCACTATCAATCCCCTCCAGTCTACCTCTGAAAACAAACGGGGCCCAAAGTTCATATTTCAATTCATTTCAAGTTCATTTATTCTTCTTAATTCATGAGTCAATTTCGTTGTCTTTCAACGACCCAACTGAGACTACAACTCAGTGATTTTTCCAATTCAATACACTACCACACAAACACTTCAAATTTACCATTTTACGAAAATTTCATTCGCGGGATCGACACCCATGTATATACACGATTTTGGGACTTTCACCCTAGACACTCCGGCCAACATAATTTCAATGGAATCCATCCCCTTTCTTCTCCCACACAATGGAGTACATCCCCTTTCTTCTCCCACACAATGGAGTACATCCCCTTTCTCTTCCCAAACATCATACATATACAATGTATTTAAAACAGTCATATTCAATGACAACCAACATTAGATTAGTTTTAATTTACTTAATCCTCATACTTTTTCTACAACAATCATAAATATCCTCCACCGATAGCCCAATACAGATATTTCTACATAAATATACAGTCTTTTCAATGGATAATTTATTCAAATTTCCATAGATAGGAGACAACACGTCTCCAACTCCACTATTTACATCAACAATCATCCAATTGCATATTATCATCATCAATTTTGGTTATTTATTCAAAATAACAATTTGACCCATTTAGGGCAAAACTCCATTTTTCCATATATCAACCCAAATGCCAAAATTAACTATTTTGCCACCATAGAACCTCATATTCGAATCCCATAACCATTTATCTCACACTCATTTAGAAACCCCTTTTTTTATTTCATATTCAAACCCTAGGTTTGTTCAAAATACTCTCAAATCCCACCATTGTTATACAACGACAAATAACTAATCTAAAAACCATATGAAAGTGTAGAAAATCCCTACCTCAAGGAGAGAAGACGAGCCAAACAAGAGTGAAACTTCAAAGATGCCCAAATCCAATTCTATTCGGATCAAATGGAGATCTTGAGATAGTCTACCTTTTTATCAAAGGGATTAGGGTGAAGAAATCACTAAAACTATATGACAATGTAGAGAGATAGTGGTTTAGAGAAAGAAAGTCTCAACTTTAGGTTTTAGGGAGAAAATATCTAAAAAAGTGATATAAAAAGTTATTTTCGCGATCTGATATACGCACGGTCCACTCGAGCACAAGATCTGACGCTCGAGCGTCAGACATAATAAGTTGTTCCGCTCGAGCGCAAGAAAGGCCGCTCGAGCACCTAAACACAATGAACAAGACGCTCATCGCTCGAACGCAAGAAGTGATGCTCGAGCGTAAAAAACACGCATCCAGTAGTTTTCAGACAACAGACTAACGCTCGAGCGCAAGAAAGACCGCTCGAGCGCCCACCCGATCGAACGTAGGAAACGCCGCTCGAGCGCAAAAATCACTTTGCCAGTAGTGTTGCAGATCTGCAAAAATACTGAGAGTTTGCAAAGCCCGCTCGAGCACAGGAAATGCTGCTCCAACGGAGAACCAAAATACTGGGCAACACAAGATTTGAAAAACAAGCGACTAACCTGCCCAAACACAACCACAACAACTCAAAAGCCAATTTCAAAGAGATACAAGGGAAGCAAGATGTAAACAACAATATGAAAGCATTAAACCCGAGTCCGAGATACCACAAGAGTTGGGTCAAAACTGAGATCGCCATACATAACAAACTTATTTAAATGGAAAATGAATGAAAACAAGTCCTTCTAAGCTTTTTTCAAAAGCTTATTTCTATTCCAGTATTGATGAATAGCACTACTTCAGTCAAAAGCTTATTTCTCTAGCATCGTGAAAATTAAAATGAATCTATGAGAATCAGCATTCATCAAATCTTGTAGAAGAACACTAATTCAATGCGTCAGTGGAACAATCACCGTATCTTTGAAAAAAGAGTACTCAATTTTAGCATTCAGAAGTATACAAGATCAATTCTAAGCAGAATGAAACATTAGTCACCAAATTAGTCACTTCCAATCCCTCATTCTAATCTGCAGAAAAAAGAAACTTTAAATTATAAGTTGAAAATTTCAGGGAAAAAAAATCCAAAGAGAACCACAGAACAGCAATAAGAAAGATTAATTAAAAGAACTACAAAGATTATCTCAAATCTGCAGGGTAGATGCATCAAAATTCAACTTTACCAAATAATATGAAATAATCAAATCTAAACGTTGTAATTGAGCAACTCTCCTAATAGATTGATGAAAGCAAAAGAATCAACAACAGATTGGAATCAAATGTACAAGATCTAATACATCACCAATCTACCTACGTGAATCATGGTGTCTACAACTCAGTTGATGGCACCAATTCACATGACATTGGATACAAAGGGATGTTAAAGGAACCTATCATCATTTCAAATATGGCTGTGGCTTTTTTCAAATTAAAATTACTATTTGCTATGTGTAGACGTCCCCGAACGCCCCGAGAGGGATGAGCTCCCGTTCAGTTCGTTTATGGGGTTTCGCTACAGTTTGGACTCGATTTGTGTCGCGGTTCTTAATCTTGAACCAAAGAGTCCAAATCTGGCAAATTGTTTTGAGAAAACAGATTTTTTAAAAGAAGTGCCAAACATGGACTGCTTTGCCAAATACAGAGTCGCCACCTAAATATTTTAAAATGGGGAAATTTAGGAAACCCTGACTCGGTGCCGAAGGCCACATGTCCGTCATCACCGGAGTTGTCTCGGCTCGGTGGAGGTGAGAGTATGGAGACATTGATACGACTTTAATCCAAAAAAACATTTTTGGCCTTTAAAAGGTGAAAAATATTTCCTGTCTAAATAGGCTTATTTTTAGTAGACCACAAAAATTTATTTTTTTTGCTTTTGTTTTTATTGTACCAAATCTTAGAAAATATGAAAATATTTGCCTCCCAAACAAATGAAGGGTAAGCATCCATTCAGTGAAATCATTTTGACCATACACACTATACATAGGGATGCCAGATTGATGATAACCCAAGGGCAGATATAGAAAATTCAAAAAATGAGCCTGTTTAGAACTCAAAACATTCAGTTGAACTTTTCATCAACACTATCTAACTTGATCTCTTAGAACTTAAACAGCAGAAGAAATTCTCTACTGAACAATTCTTGTAACTGCTTGCAGACCATAAGCATTTGGACCCAAAAGAGATTCACATTGACAGCTTCAAAATTGCTGCTAAATGGAAAAGTAATAAATTTGGCACCAAAATAAAAACAAATGGACAAAGATGATGGAGCAAAGTAATAAACATAGGGAACCAATGAACATACACATTACCCTCAAACAAAGACGTCATTTGAGAGAAATTGCTCTAAAAACAACAAAACACATACAAGAATAAAAGAATATTAATGAGCCCACCAGTGGGAAAGATCCTCCAAAATATACAAAACCACAAACCAAATAAATACAAACCTTGGCTGCATGTAGTATTTCAGATATCATCATGATTTACATACTCTCTTCCCCTCTCTAATAGGGTAATCACATGATATGGATATTATACGACGAAATTTCAGGCCTATAACAACATGGGTATTGACTACAGTATCAAGAATCTAGTTCTTATTTTCCAATGTACCCAAAAAAAAAGAAAAAGAAAAAAGAATCTAGTTCTCACGTTCCCTGCGGGTTTACCAGCTGGGAAAACTCATCGAATCCAACAACCACAGCATCTGATTCAGCAGTTTCCGGCAGATTCTTCGTCATCTTTCTGTTTTGGGGCTAAAGCGGTCGTGTCATTGACAGTTGCAGCTTCTTGTACCTCCTCAGCTTCTTTTTCCTCAATAGTCACCATAACCTGACTATTAGAGAAGTTTTCTCCATCATTGGCGCATAACCAAGCTTGATGAATTTGTAAGACATACTCCAAGTGCCACAAAACTTCACCCATTGTTGGTCGGCTCTTACCCTCATCTGCAAGACACTTTTCAGCAATCTCCCCAAATTTCTTCAATGATTCCGAAGAATATTTCCTTTTCAGATGTGGGTCAATAATGGTTTCCAGTGATCTCTGTCTTTGCCACCGCATTGCCCATTCTGCGAGATTGATCTGATCTTTTGGCAAGCTTGGATTTATAACAGCTCGTGCACAAACAACTTCGAGCAACACTACACCAAATGAGTAAACATCCGATTTCTCAGTCAACTGCTGTCGTCTGAAATATTCAGGATCAAGATATCCGAAGCTTCCTTTGACTGCGGTGCTAACATGGGTATGTTCCAAAGCCGGGCCATTTTTTGACAATCCAAAATCAGCCACTTTCGCAACGAAATTCTCATCCAATAGTATATTAGTTGTCTTAACATCCCTGTGGATGATTCCCTGATCTGATCCCGTGTGAAGGTAATGTAATCCCCGCGCAGCACCAATGCAAACTTCCAATCGTTGCTTCCAAGATAACGGAGGGAGGTCACTACCAAAGAGATGACTTCTAAGCGTCCCATTTGACATGTACTCGTATACCAAGATCATTTCATTCTGTTCTTCGCAGAACCCAATCATGGAGACGAGATGTCGATGTCTGAGCCTTGAAAGCATCTCAATCTCTGTTTCGAATTCTGCCAGGCCCTGCTCAGATTGTGGGTTGGCCCTCTTAATAGCCACAAGCGTGCCGTCTTCAATCTCCCCTTTGTACACCTTGCCAAATCCCCCTACTCCAACCACTAAACTATCGTCAAAATTATCAGTTGCTGCTTTGATCTCCGCTAGTGTGAACCAACGACCAACTCTAGCAGAGGCCACAGACCCAACTGGGTTCTGACTTCCCGATGATCCCTTGCAATTAGCAGTACTATTAACAACAGCCCCATGAAGAAACAATGGCCACCATCCCGGAGAGTTGTTTTTCGTATCACCCGGTTTATTTCTTCGCCTTTTGCAAAAACAAAAGATTAACATAAATAAAGCTACAAAAATAGCAATAGAAGCTATACCTGCTCCAATTCCAGCCAAAAGGATTTGACTCATTGACATTTTGTTTCCTTCTGGATTATGTATCTCTATGCGGGCAAGATTCCCATTACGGCTCAGCTTGAAAATCTCCAACCCATTCAAGAAAGCATCGGTAACTGAAGCACCACCGGCCGTGTCAGGCCCCAGTTGTATCCATAGGGTGTTGATTTTCGGGGACAACACATCGAAATAATCCTGATGATACGGTGTATTCTTCCCTCCTGCTTTCGAAAAAACATCGAAACGGTCCGCTGCAGTCTGATTGTTTATATAGATTCTGAAAATCCTTTGGTTCGCCTTATCAACATCCAGCTCACAGAAATGTAATCGGATCAAATAATCAAAATCTGGATCCACTTCAAATTTCCATGACATGTTGAACCTCTTCTCCAAGACTTGAGCGTTCGACATAGTTCTAGCTGTTTCATACACTAGAAGAGGAGCCACTGAGGTCTCATTAGCAGAAGTAAAAGTAATGGTAGAACTGTTTGTAGTTTCTGACCCGGCATCTGCTGTCAACATGTAGCCAGAATCCACCCCCCACGTTCTCCAAAGTTCATCATCACTTGATTTAATCTCAGAACCACCCACGTTTAACCTATACATGGTTTCAATCCCTCGTTTGCTCAAATTCAGATAAATGTTTGCACCACCACCTACTTTGTTTACTGAGTCGACAAACACGTTGTCTACAACGGGGACAATTTCTATGGCACTCACAAATCCAAAGGAGCCTTTAGCCGGGATGAACTCAATCACAAAAACATCCGTATCAACATCAAAGAAGTACTCTTTGATCAAAACAAATGAACTTGAATTGGTCCCTGAACTCTGCAAGTATGAGCTTGAGTGTGAAATCTCACTTGGGACTTTGAAATTTGAAACCAATTTCAACCCATTTGCCACAACAGAAAACGAAGACTGATTTACATCATAATCTTGAAAGGAAAGGGGATAAAAATGAAGCCTAAGAAAGTAACTCTCACGGGCCACTTTAAATGTGTAATTGAGACTATTAGTAAAAAACCGGGCAGTTCTATAGAGCGGCGCATAGATTGAATCTCCATTAAAGGTGGAATTGGTGGCCACAATACCAGAACTGACAGTTAGATTGCTATCAGGGGCCAAGTCACCAACCCATCTTCTATCATCCACATTGACACTTGAATTTGTGCCACAATTTATCAGAAAAGTGTTTGTCTCAGCTTTTCCAGTTCTAACAAACACAGGGATCATCACCAGAAAGAGTAGGCCCAAAACCTCCATCCCTTGGACCTTCCTCATCTATCACTTTGTCAAGAAACTAGGGTTGTTTTCTTTTTTGTCCCCCTTTTTTACTTCAAGAAAAAGGACTATAACACAAGCTTAAAATGCACCCAATAAAGATTGTTGAAGAACACAGAAGCATAGGAGGGTGAAAATTATAACTTGTTCTTGAATCACATTAACAACTATTCAGTCCAAGAAAATCAAGAAAAGGCTTGTATTATAACAAACTCAACAAGCACAAATTTGCATTGAACAACACAAATTCAAATTCTAGAATAAGCCTTAAGTTACCTTCTTTAAACACATCTGGGGCTCTTGATTTTCCTTTAATTGTACCCCACAAGAGCAATGAACACAGAAGGATAAAACCCCACACAGGACTTTCTTCAAACACCCTCCATCTCCAACCAACAAACCCCACCACTGAATTGCAGATCTGACCCCAAGAACAAAGGGCAAAATGGGAAACAAAAAGGGCAATGGAGTGTGCTGATGCAAGAATATACAACTTTCCTCCCTCACCAATGAGATTGAAAGTCCCCAAAGAAAATACAAAGAGAAAGGGTGGTTCTGGAAATTGGAGTTTTCTGAGTATTTTGAGAGAAATCAAAAATGGGTTGAGCTGGAGAAAAGGGTGGTTCTGGAAATTGGAGTTTTCTGAGTATTTTGAGAGAAATCAAAAATGGGTTGAGCTGGAGAAAAGGGTGGTTCTGGAAATTGGAGTTTTCTGAGTATTTTGAGAGAAATCAAAAATGGGTTGAGCTGGAGAAAAGGGTGGTTCTGGAAATTGGAGTTTTCTGAGTATTTTGAGAGAAATCAAAAATGGGTTGAGCTGGAGAAAAGGGTGGTTCTGGAAATTGGAGTTTTCTGAGTATTTTGACAGAAATCAAAAATGGGTTGAGCTGGAGAAAAGGGTGGTTCTGGAAATTGGAGTTTTCTGAGTATTTTGACAGAAATCAAAAATGGGTTGAGCTGGAGAAAAGGGTGGTTCTGGAAATTGGAGTTTTCTGAGTATTTTGACAGAAATCAAAAATGGGTTGAGCTGGAGAAAAGGGTGGTTCTGGAAATTGGAGTTTTCTGATTGTTTTGAGAGAAATCAGAAAATGGGTTCAGCTTGAAACGACTATTGTTTGTTTCCTGAGAAAAGAGCTAAGAATCTGCCATACTCATATCTGCATCATCCACTTTATGGCATAGTAGCAGTTGTTGTAACTGCTGAAGATACAGCTAATTTCTTTATACAAATTCAAATTCAAAAATATTATTTAAATATAAAAAATTGACATGATTATAATAAATTCTCATAATTTTTTAATTTAGGCAATAAAAAAATTATCATAATTGAAATGTGTATTTTATATTTGTTTGTATTTGTATTTACAAACTATTTACATTTAATTTTTTAAAAATAATATTAATATAATTATGTTAAATTTATCATTTTATTATATTTTTTTAAACCTAATGCATGAATAATTATCTCTTTTTTAAAAAAAAAAATATTATATTTCAATATTTTATAGTGTTTAGGGCACTTTGCTTCTTAAAGCATCTCCAACCACATCATCTTCTCAAGAGGATGGAAATAGTATTTTTTATTTAAAAAGTAAATATAGAGGAGGTCACTATTCATTCAAACTCCAACCACAAACCTTCATTTCCTTCATTCAAACTCCAATCAAAAAGTAATTTTTGTTCATTAATAAATATTTAATTTTAAAATTTTTGTAAAACATATTTAATATTATACTCATTTTAAAGGTATGATTTTATACTTTTTATTGATGTCATTTTTATAAAAATTAAATTTACACATTAAAAGTTATTTCGAATATAATTAAGAAATATAGAATGAATAGTGTTTTAGAGTCTCCTCTATTTTTTTCATCCTCCCTCTATATTTAGAGGATCAATTCATCCTCCTCCTAAATGGAGGAGGATATAGAGGATGGGTTGGAGTTGTTTTTAGGAGAGGATCCTCCATATTTGAAGAGATGAAGGATGGGTTGGAGATACTCTAAGAGAGAAGTTGAACGAAGAAGATTGAAAGAAGAAGAAAGAGACAGAGAGCAATTGAGAGAGAGAGAGAGAGAGAGAGAGAGAGAGAGATCAAAAAACAGAAGAAGAAGATCGAAAGAAGAAGAAAATGATCAACGAACATACCTTCGCAAGAGCAATGAGCAGCGAGCAGTCTTCTCTCGGCCTTTTCTCCTCTTTCTGTTCGACATCCAAGTTAGGGCTTGGTTTACTTGCTTCAATTTTTGTTTTTTTACAAATTGACCCCCAATTGAAGTTTCAAAAATTATGTTTTTGGCCCCATGGTGTCCGAAACGTGTCAGAGTGTGTCTGGCTAGAAAAAAAAAGAAAAAAAAGGGACACCTTCTGGGACGTGTTGGACACATGTCTGACGCGTGTCCATGTCCAACACGTGTCCAACACTAAAACGTAGCCTTCGGAGAGGTGTCCATGCTTCATAGACTATCTGGCTCAAGACAACACTTCAATATGAATACTCCAATTACATTCGGTTTCTTTATGCACATTAATGGAAGCTGAAACCACCCAAGAGAAAAAAAAGAAAGAAAAAGCAAAAGTTAAAAACGGAATCTTAGTGGCACGAAAAATTTACATGCAGTTACAAAACCGCAACACCAGCAGCTAATAAAGAATCACTAAAATGCACAAGGGAAACAAACATGAATACAAGGCCAAATAAATGGATTGGACACAAAAGAAAATCTCAAAAAAACTAAAGCAACCCCAATGAAATCGATAACATACAAATAAATATGTTCGTGTGTATGGTGTGGTTCTGCCTATTGTTCTTCAGTTTCAGCAGAAACATCAATAGGATTATGAAACCAATTGTCAAATCCAGAGCTGTAGGAACAAGCCATTAACATCTTACAAATTCCACTATTGACAGACTGACAGCATTCATTCAATTCAACCATAAATAATTACCAAAAAGAGATCCAAACCTGGTTATGAAGTAATTGACCTAATCTTCACCATTTAAGGCATGAAAAGAAAATTACACTTATCAACAATCTATATTTAAACCCTAGAGACACACAAGAGTGTTAAGTCACCAATTGCCCCCAAAAGCTTAAGCTGTTAGAAAATGGGCTGACCCAACAATGAATATTAAGCTATCCTACACCCTCCCTCACAGACAACCCGTCTTGCACGTGGAGATAAACAAAAACCCAAACAAAACGAGAAGCAAACAACCATAAGCAGAAGAACCAACCAGGGACCGAATACCAAATACCAATGAAGAGACTTGAACCCAAGTTCAAGGCCTCTCTTAATCAAAGCTCTGATACCATGTTAACAAAGGTAAATAAGTATTGTATTATTTAATCACACTTACAACCACTGATATATAGATATCAAGACTAAACCCTAATAATAGTCCAAGTACAAAACCACCTTTATAATAGAAAAATACTACCAAGATAGAGAATAGTAATACAACTGTTACAAAGACAATGCAACCTAACTTCCATTTAGATTCAGCAGATGCAACACATGATCCAAATCACTTATGAACTGAATTGACGAATATAATGAATTGCCAGTAAAGCAACACAAGTATGGTGGTTCCTGAATTGCACTGGACAAATTACAGGCCTTTGTAACAGAATCTTCAGACCTTTCCCATTGAAAATTACTCCCTCTGTCCCAATTTGTTAGTCCATTATAGAAAAAACCAACTTATTAAGGAGACATGAAATCATTACATTTTAATTCAAATTTTGAAATGTTTTTCCCAGCATTGCGCTTCTACTTGAATTTGAAAATGTGTTTATAATAATTTATAGAGGGCAATTTTGGAAATTTAACAAAATTTAGTATCCCAAAATAGCAAGTGGACAAACATTTTCAGAGAAACTAAAATGGAAAGGTGGACAAACAAAATGGGACGGGGGGAATATCTAAAGTCTGGTTGAGAGAGATCCCATATGTAAAAACACAGTAATTGCAAGCTTTGTTGTCATTTGGATGGTAATCACTGTTTTACTGCAGCAGAACCCTGACCAACCATTTTGTCCACACAGCTACAGCTGCGAGGCACCCACAAACCTGATGTGATATGTTGCTCACCAACTCCGCAATAAAAAACCAAAATAATACTAGACAGTAGCCAGGACCCATGCAATTCTGTGTCGTCGCACCAATGCTGACTAAAACCTGGCTTTGACTCATGCCTGATCTGATATGGATTCTACCAATTTGGCTACAACAGACCAAAGGAACTCTTTTCAGCATTTATGCAATAATGAAAAATCTCCATGCTTTGACTTAAAATTGAATTGTATTTTTTGACTAAAGACCACACCATCATGCTATTCTACTTAAGTTAGACACTAGCACCCTGTGAAAGGTGGCAGTTCACAGACACGATTGTTGTGCCAGAAACACCACACACTACACAACCACAACATGAAAACCATAGCTAAGCTGAAATGGGGGAAAATAGTGGAAAGACTAAACAAACCAAGAAGGTTATTAATTATTTCCCAATAATTTATTCATGCAAATTCTATAAGAAGTACATATAGATATTTCACAAGTTGGTTTGATCATGTCATCTATGAGTCTGGTGCTTTCAGTATCCTGGAAACTAGCCAGTTTACTGTTTCATGAGAAATTCCTAATAGTTTAACCAGACTATTGAAATATTGCAAGATATCACAAACCAACTTAACCTCTTAGTCATGGAAACATTAACCAATACCCACCCAGATTTCAGTCATCGTTTTTGTCAAGCCTAATAAAAAAACATACATTCACTCACATACTTAACGTAAAAGGAATAATAGAGATTTCGATACCAAACTAGTTAATTAAAAAACGAAAAAGAGAGAAAATCTGAAGTTGATAAATATAAAACTGCAAATTATGATGTGCCAAGCTGAAGGTTGCTTAGCGTTCAAATGTTCTCATTTTCATTGCCTTGTTGGAGTAAGCAGTACTACTGTTACTCTGATCTCTTTCGTGTAGCTCCTTTTGGATATTAACTAAATTTCATTTTTTTCCTGAGGCTCTTAATATCTCCTCACAAGTTATAAATAAGTAGGAGTGGAGTTTTAAAGTAATTTAATCTCTTAAGCAAAGCATAAAAGGACTGAAAGCTTGCCCCATCCAGGGCAGGAAGTATAAGATGTTAAACCTCCCACTCAAAGTGAACAATGTAGTGTTTGGGGACTAGGTAGTTGTTCAATAACTGTTGAAAAGAAAACCAATCAATTTAGGGTTTGGGGACTGGGTAGTTCTGGCAGTGTTGAAAAGGCAATCAATCTTGTCTACTAGGTAGTTTTTCTATCTTAATCTATGCAGGTAGAAATATGCTGCTAAGGTAAATTGTAATAGTGGTCACTTTGGGCAACAGGAAAGCACGACGGTGAGAAAATGTTGGAATGCAAAAGATTAAATAGATGCAATCCTGCACACGACAAAACTGAAGAGATGTACAAAGTGAAAATAATCATGTATAGCAGAAACTATTGTTTACCTTACGACCCTGGCAATGAACACAAGAAACCTCGCCCTTGGATTTAATTAACTATATTTCCATATACAATGGCCAAGGAAAAAAGAATATAAATTAGTAAATACCTGCAGAACTATGTGCTCATGCAAAAGCACATAGTTTTACTAAAGCAACTGCTCGCATTAATATAATTGGCAATGGTTTAACTAAAGCAACTGCTCGCATTAATATAATATTTCAACAAAATTCGACATTAACTAAAAGAACTAGCCCTGAATTACTGCACCAAGTTTTTTATTCCTTCACATATTTCCCCCAACTGCATGCCAAGTTGATCAGTTCCAATATTCATTCAGCAAGGAATATGCACAAAGATAAAAGGATTTAAAACTTTTTGAAACATACCAAATATCTAAGTTCATAGTAAAAAACAAACAGAATCAAGAAAAAACAAAGATGCAGATGACAATTTATATCAGATCGTGCAACACAATTAATAAAATAGAGTCCAAGCTTTTTCATATACAGAATTGAAGAACAATGGCATCAACAAGTGAACACAGCTCCTTAGGTTTCCCAAATTCTGTAGTTACAGGTCTAAAGAAAATTATTTTCTACACAAAAACAATAACAAAGATGAAATCAGACCTGAAAATAGAATCATCTGCTTGATCTTGTACCAAAGCAAGAAAACACCAACAACTCAAATTCGACAATCTAAGATCTCAAACATTTTCAGTTCTAGCCACCACATGCACTGCAGTTTCCGACTTGCTTGGTGCAACACAGGACCTAACTCACCAGCAGAAACATAGATAAGATACACTGGCAAAACAGATCCCAACCTGCACCAGGCAAGTTAGAGACTGCTGCAAGAAATTCTCCAGCAAACAAGTTATATATATGCCTCTGTGTCTGCGTGTGTGTAGCTCTCGTAATTGCATGTTGTGCTCAAAAGAGAGAATGAATTGAAGTGTTTTCATTCTCTTGCAGCAAAGAAAGAACCCTATCTGCTGTTCAAGAGGCCTAGAAAGCTTATGACAGAAGGTAAGATATGATATGAGGCCTTTTTTATAGGTGGCCCACACAATCTTAATGCTGACACATTGGACAGGTCATAAATGGTTTTTGCCACTGTATAAGAACACTAGTCAAGTGCATGAAGTGGGTAGATTAGTATGCCGTATTCAAAAGAAGATGATGTTAATTTTGGAAATTAGAACCTTGATTTGGGTTGAATGATATTGGTGGTGGTAAGCATTAAAGTTGACTAAAAATGACATAGGTGGTCGTATTTGTATAGAGCTACGCTAACTGTAAATACACATGTTCTGCAACTTTCATGACGTCATTAGGATGCATGTGCCAATAAAACTGAATTAGAGATGAACATATTTACATTATTAAAAAAGCATTTATGTTAAAGCCCCCAAGTTTTATGAATAGCCCGTGAATGAGAAAGGAAATATAACAAAATAAAGCTTTTAAATGCATAATGAAATTAGTAGAATTAGCTAATATTTTAGAAAATGTCATTACCACCATTGTCAATTAATTTACAAGGTTTTTTTTTTTAATTATTCAAAATCATATTACTAATTGTTTCAAAGGCAAAAATGGAAAGAAGTGTAAGGTGTTGAACGATGGTCAACATTGAAAATGAGGGTGAAAATGGAAATAAAGTATAACAGCTGTTACAGTAGGGATACAGGCAATACCATTATTTGAATTACCAACTAATTATATGGACAAAAATGAAGGCACATTCTTATTTTCATAAGAATAGTCCATATTTTCTTCTCTAGATTTCCCAAACATTAGTCTACAATTAATGAGTAGTTTTCAATGGATTTTCTATTATACAATACGTCAAGATACTAGTTACAGTTTCTCAACTTTTAAATGGTCAATAATAAGGATGAATTCAACAATGTAAACGCATTTAATGGCATTTTACTAATACTAACAGACTATTTTAGTAACTTTTTGATTTTTTACGAAAAGATATGCAGAAAAGTGGAGAGACTGATGTGATAACTTATAGTGACTTTTTGGCTAAAATATGTTGTCCCAAACGAGCCTAAGTACAATTTCTCAACTTTTACATGGTCAATAATAAGGATGAATTGAACAATGTAAAATATATGTAAGCGCATTTAATGGCATTTTACTAATACTAAGTACAATTTCTCAACTTTTAAATGGTCAATAATAAGGATGAATTGAACAATGTAAAATATATGTAAACGCATTTGATGGCATTTTACTAATACTAAGTACAATTTCTCAACTTTTAATAATAAGGATGAATTGAACAATGTAAAATATATGTAAACGCATTTAATGACATTTTACTAATACTAATTACATTTTCAAAGTAGACAAATTTAGCTAGAAAGGGACAGTACAGATATACCTAATGGGCCATTCAATGTCATTATCATAATTAGAAATAATTGTGCACTGATATAGACATATAGTATATATATAAAACCAAGGGCATGACTTATATTGGTGATTAAGGACAAAAATAGTTGAGATTACGGACAAAGATGAAGACAATACACATATGTACAATGGCAAACACAGTCACAATTTTTTTATAAACCCCCATCCAATGGGTCCTAAACTGGGCGTACTATTTTTTTTTAATGAATCACTGTGCATAGGCTCTCTTTGATAGAATTGAAACTTGAAAACTTAAAATTAATAATTGAAAATTGAATACTGAATACCGAATACCGAATTTTTTAATCAAAAAATTGTTTGATATGTACTTAAATTTAAGTGCTAAATTTTATCATTTTTTAAATATTTATTTTAATTTAATTTTATTATATATATATATATATGTATGTACACGAAACTAAAATTCAAAATTTATTAATATTTTAAAATTTCTCTTCTACTTTTTATATTGTGGCAGGGGGTTAGTAGCTATGTGGTAGTGATGGTGGTGGCAGATGCAACGAAGGTGGGATGGTGGTGGTAGTGGTGGCATGGCTGTTGTGATGGCATGGCTGTTGAAATTTAGATTTTTATAAATTATATCATTAGAACATTAGTAGTTGACCTGTGCGATGCATGGGAAAAAAGAAAATTGTTCTTGAAACAACCACTTAAACCCCTTGTGGTATGTAGACCAAAATGCAAGTCACAATTTCCATCCAAACTAACTAGAGGGTGTACATCACCACACACCTCTGTCGAGAGTGGGTACGACACAACAATTTTTTTAAGACAAAAGCACCCTTGTTTGTAACTCTTTAAAATAGTTAAAGTGTCATTTTTCTTCTTCTTTCATTTTCTCAGGCCAACCCTTGACCGCCCTCTAGCCAATTTGTCCTCCCTGCATGTCCCACCCTGTGCAAAGCTCGCATCCTTTTGCCACATGAACTCTTCACTGCAATATTTGCTCGGTCCACAATGCCTACCCACCCACCTCACTTCCAACTGAGGCATCTAGGGCCCACCACTTGTTTCTTGTTTCTTTGTGTTTTCTTAGTTCAAAAAAGGGGAGCGAAAAAAAAAGAAGCATCTTTTCATGAAAACATGAATACTATTCAAGCCCTCACAAACACTTTTGAGGTTATGCTAGCCAACATAAAAAATAACTTGGATGCTCTTAAGATGTTGATGCATCGATTCATTGCCAACATTAGTCTTCAAAATTGTAGGCAACAAGGCTCTGGGTTCATGATGATTTTGTTAAGTTTAAATCCCCCTTAAAATCTAACCTAGTCATGACCCATGTATTCTTGCTGATCAATTCATGTTTGGGTTAAAACCTAAGATTAGTAGAGAGATGTTACCCTTTTATGATAGTCTCAAAGATGCCTATGGAGATGCTACAGAAGTTGAAATTTATTTGGAGCAAGAGAATTAACTTAACAACTGTCATAAAGTAACCACATATGCAGAGACTAAAATTGCATCATCACATATTGTGACATTTTAAGGAATTTGTTGGTTTTGTGTCCTTGTCCTTGCCCATTGCTCATGATGATTCACTTGATTTCAGTGTGGATCATTCCACTCAATTCATTTATTTTGTTAGTTTGCCCCTTTCTAATCCTGATGTTAGCAACACATTAGATGATGTTTTACAAGGAGAATTACTTACCAGTTGGACAGAGGTGCAAGTCTCACTTGCACCCCCACAGTTTTTCACTTGATCCCATCACAGAATCATTTGCACCCCCAATGTTTTTATGTTTTTGTAATTTTTTTTCTCTCCCACTGTTAAGTAATTCCCCCTATTTTAAATTATTTCAACATCAGGGCTTACATGCAAATTGCGGTTTCGGTTTCGATGAAAAGAATCGAAAGGTTATGACCTACTCCCCACGGCAGATCCCATAAACAACTTACAATGTGAAAGTTGTTGAAGAGCCTAGACGGCTTATACCCCAAAGTACGACATGAACTAGAGGTAATGGGACTGTCATGATGAAGCCCATCATGTCTAAGTCATTCAAATATTTCACACTGAATTCTCATGAGAATATTTTAGCCATTCTTGAATATGGGCCGCATGTACAATTTACTAAGTTTTCTATGACTTGAAGTATTGGTCCCATATTTCATGTGGAAAATATGGTACTACTTGATCAAGGCACCTCGCAGTCTCTTGTTTTGTTTGATCGTATTTCTGCAGGAGTTGATGCATTTCCACTGCCAGCTTACATACTAGCTTCTTGTCAGTCCTCTGGTAGATCCGGATGGCATCAAGGGTCACAATATCGTTCTCATAGATGAGCTTCATTTCCTGGATGACTTCTACTCTTATAACTCTCCGGGGGAGAGTTTTTTAACAACTGAGAATAAATGATGCAGGTAAAAAAGGTGTCGGATAAGGAAAGAATCCAGCACATTTGAAAATTTAAATTTTTAGAAATTATATCAATATTAGAATACTAGGTAGGATTTAAGTATTTGGAATGTTTTATTTTTAGGAGAACTTTTAATTAGGGCTTTTTGGGATGCCTATAAATAGGCCATTATGTAGTAGGGTTATTCAACTTTGATTATGAATTGAATTGAGAGTTTTATTATTAAGATTAAGAATTAGGGTTTATTTTATTTTCTTTGGGCGTGGTTTGTTCTTTTCTTTAATATGATGGTTCTCTTTCCGGCCGTCCTGCATCACATGGTCATATCTTCCTGCAGTAGATGTTCACCTCCTGTCCTTTGGCTCTACCAATTCATATCACTGGTGTTTTTCTTCTTTTTTTTTTCTTTTTATTTATTTTTATTTTTTAAACTTGATGTTTTTGTTCATCCATTCTTGTCCAATTGAGTCTATATTAATGGGTTAGTTCAGGAATACTCTGTTAATGAAGTGAGAGTTAGAGTACCCAATATTGGTCATCACGTATCCTATTGCCCATTACATATTGGAATTTTAGATTTTTGATACTGTTATTCATTGATATATCAGCTAATATTGCCTGATGTTGGCTGATATTTGACCATATCGCCGATACCGATTCATATCCCGATACAGTTATTTAAAACCATGCTCTACAGGGGTTCGTTTGAGAGCCGCACCCAAACTAATGGACGAAGTTTGTGCTCATTCTATAACCATGTATAAACTATTCAAATTTAATCCCATTTTACAGCAAGGCACCCTATATGTTTAACTTAGAAGACCCTAAAGACATACAACCTTCTAAAAATTCCCTAGTTAAGTATAATAATCTTGCCGTGTTGAGTACAAATTACCAGGTAAAACTCAGATTCCAGCAGAACAGGAAATTCCCGGAGAAGTAATAGGTTGGATCATAGCTCAAGAGGATTCCTGCCCACCTCAAAGTACAAATCTTGAAATGTGACTCCCTAACCAAAATAGAAACTAGAGAACATAGAATTCCTGAAAATAACCCAGCAATACAATTCTCTAATATTCTGAATAATTAAGGAAAAAAGTTTTTAACTTTGATATGAGTAATACCCCCATTGGTCCTTCTAGTTTAAGCAAAGTTTCACTTTGGTCGTCATGGTTTCAATTTGAACATTATACTTTCAATTTTGTTGCAATGTGGTCGGTTACTTATTGCTAGAATTTTGAACGGAAAAAGACCATGTGCAAAACATTGCAATAAAATTAAAGTATGGGATTCAAATTAAAATTATAGGGGCTAAAGTGACACTTCGCTTAAACTACGGGGATTAATGATGTTATTTACCCTGTCATTTATATGTTCAAAATTATGAAAGCATCATTGTTTGTATTATAATTATTTCATTTGCTAGTTCTATATAGATGCAAATAGGAGTTTCCCTCTTTTTCATTTAGTACCCTAAGAAGCATGAACACAGACACGTGACACGACACAGATACACTGACATGAAAACTTTCAAAAAATATAAGACACAACACATGACGGATACATACAAATATAATTTTATATACTTATTAGGGTAAATTACACTGACCTCCATTGAGGTTTTGGAGAAAATACAAGTAAGTCTCATAGTTTTGCCATAAGTACGCTGACCTCCCTTTTCATAAGGCTAAAGTGACTAAAACTAATGCAAATAGTATGAACAAGGATAAACAAAAAAATATATATATAATTCAATGTAAAAGAGATGATAACATCATTTTTCATCCATATGACTAGCAAATTATTGATAAAAAGGGGGCCAAGTGTTGTGTGACATAAAACTTTAAGAGAGCCCAATATAATTATGCCAAAACTATAGGGCTTATTGTATCCAAACCTCAGGGAGGTCAGTATAATTTACCCTATTTATTATACGTCATATTTGTGGATAAATAATTGTTATATGCCATACATGTGAATATTAAAGTCAAAGATATTAATTTACATTGTTTTTGTCTTTTGGATTCCAAGTTATTTTATTCATACATATAATATGTTTCATCTGTGTCTAAGTGTTGGGAAGTGCTTGATTCATATCGTGTTGGTGTCGAACACGGCATGCTATCTTGTTAGAATTGTCCGTGCTTCTAAGTTAGTACCTTTTTCTTCCACTTTAAAACTCATTTTTCCCATTCTTCCGTGGGTCTTTCACGTGATACTTACAAATTTGGCTACAATGCTTTTTCTCCTGTTTGCCCACAAGTTGTTTTTACACTTGGTACTGTTATGCAACCTTTTGCCTAAGTTTTTCCTTTGGAATCACCGTGTTTTTTTCAAACATGCAATATGTCGTGTATTTTATTGCAGTGCATTATCACTCCTTAACCCATTTTATGGTAACTACTACGCATCTCTGAATATCAATAACAGTAACCTTATCTTTAATTCCCTTAGTGTATATATATATTTACTTTCTTTCCTCACACTTACGTTTTAGTTCAAGTTAAAATTAATCATCCACTGTGTAAGCCTCCCAAAATAACTGCTTGTCAAATTGATTCCAAAATGGATGTAAAAAAGACACCAAAAGAACAGTTACAGATAAAGGATGTATAACTAGCAGAAAGATCACTTAAAAGATCAATTGAATAAGCATGTGCTCAATTTAAGCAAAATGCAATAGTTGAACACAACTGCCATGTAGGGATGGCAATTTATACCCGGCCCGACGGGGACCCGATCCCCCGACCTCGATGAGAATGGTTTTTTCCCGAAAAATACTCCCGTGGGGACGGGAATGGTATTCAAAATTAAAACCCCGATCAGTTTCGGGTCGGGGACGGTGATCAGTGTTCAAGCCCCGGCCCGTCCCTGGCCCCGAATTTTCCCCGAAGCAAAATTACCATTCTGCCCCTCTATACATATATATAAATCAACGCTTTCTCACACACAGTACAGAGGCTGACCTCACTCCTCATCAACGCCTCTCATCTCTCTCGGTCTCCCTCTCTCTAAAACCTTCCGCCGATCTTCATCTCCCACCGCCGATCTCCCTCCTCCCACCGCCGATCTCCATCCTCCCACAACTCCACCGTCTCTCCCACCGCCGAACTTCATCCTCCCACAACTCCACCATCTCTTTTTCTTCTCCAACGGCGGAGGCCAAGCTTGCCGAATCACAGCCACCATCACCGACCAGATCTGGAATATTCTCTCTCTCTCTCTCTCTCTCTCTCTCTCTCGCTCTCTCTCTTTCGATTTGTTACATATACATATATATATGTATATATATATTATATTTGACTCAATGTTTTTGTTGTTTGAGCATATCTGGTATATCTTTCGAAATAATTTGAGCATCACATTTAGATCTGTCTATCTTTCTATGTTGTTGTTGTTGTTGTTGTTGATGATGATGATGATGAAGTAGATTTGAATTTTTTTTTTTTTTTTTTTTTTTTACTTTTGAGCTCGTCAGATCTGTTAATGGGTTTGGATCTAACTTTTTTTTTTTGTTCGGGGAATTTTCGGGGTCGGGGAAGCCGAATCCCGATAGGGGACAGGGGTGGGGGTGGATTTAGGGCCCCCGTCGGGGATCGGGGCGGGGACGGGGGGACTTTAACCGTCGAGGATCGGGGACGGGGAGTGTGATCCCCGGCCCCGCCCCGCCCCGCCCCGCCCCGTTGCCATTCCTACTGCCATGAGAAGGGAAATCAACCCTAAACAGAAAACCAGTAGGATGTTTGCACACATTGACAGCCACACACTTAAAAACTTAGCAGCTTGATTTCTAATTAAGGCAAGTTGCACATAGATATAACTCAAAGATAAACCAACACTCACTTAAACGTGCCAAAGGAACTAACCTGGATTTTACTGTGCATAGTTCTTTTGCCTTCTCTGTAATTTCTTAAACATTCGGCAAATTGACCACTTCAAATTGTCAACCTAAAAACCAAAATGTGTATGCACAAAGGAACAAAATTTGAACATTTTAAAACTTCAATGATTGAACTATATGTTTGTTTCTGATAAGAATATAGCATTAAAAAAAACCACTATATAGGCATCAACAAATTCAAATCAGGCAGTTCAAAACCTGAAACATTATCTGTACAACATTAGCAGCAGCCTCTGATTCAGTTGATGCAAAGGGAAACCTACACCCAAAATTTAGATAAAACAATATTTAGAAATGCAAAATCAACTCAAAAAAACGTCTTTAACTCTTGGCAAATAAACGAAATGACATGGTCCATGATATCTCTTCAACACTGAGAATCTAATAACATCAAATGAGTTGCATCCTATCTAACATGCAATAGTTGAAAATAGAACTAAAGAAAGACAAAAAGAAAAGGAAAAAATGTACTCAACAAACTCGATAGCAAATAAATCCATGCCTTAAGAATGTTTTTCAAGAGCTGCTTATCAAAAAAATAATGCTTTCCAGATTTCAAGAGCTAAAAAATGCTCAACAAACTTTGACATCATACAAATTGCCATAATTTCAACAAATAAGGCACGCAAAGTATAGTGATCTGAACTGAACCTTGAAAGAAAAATAACATCAACGCAATTTCCATATGATACAGATTCAGTTCATGCAAGGCTTGATCAAATAAACCTAATAAATTGAATTAATATATAACAAGAATCTTTGGCAATAACTACAAACAATATGGTAAATAAACTGCACCAGATAAATTGGTGCCACAATACAATATCTTCATAATTTCTGCACCAACACATATCTAAGGTTCAATTCATGAAACTTCTGCAAAAGCTCCAATACAACAACAATTGCATAATTTTGCAGCCATGAGGTTCCAGTATCACCGTGTTTTTCTTTAGAACCCTCACTTGACTATTATGTTCACTAGCTACAATATGAGCTACTTGAGTCCAAAACTGCACTGGACAAATAAGATACCTCCATTCACAATCTTCACAAATTTTACCACTACAAGATACCTGAATTTTGATTCACAGATGTCAAGTTAAAAGATAAACCTGAACAACAATAGTATACAGTTGTTGTCATTTGGTTAATGTTGAAGAACCCTAACTAAACCTTTTCTTCTTACCAAGCACAACTGAAGTATGAGAATCCAAAGTAATAAAACTCTAACCAATATCCATGGCATGAATCAAAACAAATACTTGCATCTTGCAGCTGGCATTTGATTAATATATATATATATATATATATAAGAAAATGAATAAATAAAAAAACCTTAAATCTCCAAGAATTGTAATTTTTTGTGCCTTTTGGAAAAATTGCAATAAAATGGAAAAAATTGAAACAATTGCAAAAATGTGGAACAATAAAAATAATTGAAATGTAAATGCAATTTGAAAATTAATTTTTAAAACATAGTAAAATTACATTTTTGCCCCTCTCTTCCCTCCCTCTCTTCTCTCCCTGTCCTCCTTCCCCAACTTTCTCCAACCACCAACCACCCCTCACCCACCCTTCCCAGTTGCTGGCCACTCCTCCACCCTCCCCGACCCCCTCCCTCAACCCTTGCTTCCCAGACACCCCCCAACCCTCCGCCCCTCCCCACCCTAGCAGCTGGGAAGGGGAGGGGGGGAGGAAGAAAGAGAACAGGGCAAAAGTTAGGGGAAAATTGTAAAATTTACTATGTTTTGGAAATTTTTAAGTTTCCACCTCTATGGCAATTATTTTTGATACTCCATATTTTGCAATTATTCTACCTCATCCCATGTTTTTGCAGTTTTCCCTTTCTATTTTTCAGGGTTGGGGATAATTGTTTTGCAGCTCTGTTTCACTACACTTAATGCCAAGTAAAAACTGCACTTGAGTCAGCCAGATGCTGGCGGCTCTTCAAATTCACTACAGCAATCAAAAGGAAACAGTAGATACATACAAAAGCAGCTGTTTCATCTTAAAATTTTGGAGGAGAAGTGCAAAAAAGGGAAAGAGGAGAAAGTGGGGGGAGGAGGGATGCACATACAAATTGCTTAATTCAGAATACAAGAGAAAGACATCGGAAAGCAACATTTGTGAATTTTCAGAATTGCACAGGTGTTCAGGTTTGAACAACCGATGTAATGAAGCTTAGCATGATCAAGAGTTATGATGTTCAAATTAGAAAACCAATTACAGTTTGAAACCAATTCTGTTCTACTTGCGAACAGTATAGCATTCCATACAACATTATACACAGTGATTGTCCCATGGACCAAACCAAAAGATAAAGAACATAGTGAGAATAAAATTTCTTCTGGTGATAATGAAATAACAAAGTGGCCGACATGGGGATGTAGAATCACCTCCAAATTGAACCCTACTTACCAGATCCTACAGGTGCTGACGCTGAGGCACATGAAGTAGTACAATAAAGCAATAATTGCAGTTTCCGTCTAATCAGCATAACCAAATCACATCATATACTTTCCATGAATTTCAATAATTAATGGGGTTTTCAAAGACACATCCCAAATTATGTGCTAGGCTGCTAGCTCATTCAAAAACACAGAAATATAATCAAAGCTAAGAAAATTTGGCTTCTGACATACTCAATTTTCAACCAATAGCTAAAGGATCAACTATGGAATAAGTACTTGTTTTGTAAACCTTTTGGCAATCCTAGAATAAAAATATATGGGAGAAAGAAAAGAATATAACACAGTTGCAGCAACTGGGTTCCTTGGCAATCACATAACTAAGCCAATGAAGTATTACCTAACGGATCAATTCAAAAACTCATCTACAAAAACAAAAAAAAAAAATGCACAAATAGATAAATAAATAAATAAATAAATAAACTTTTAAGGAATAAGTTATTTTAATTTTTTTTGATTTTTTTATTAAAATATAAAGTAAAAGAATAAATACATTTTGAATAATTTTTTAATATTTTACGAAAGTTGTACAAAATAGAGAGAACTTTTTTATTTTTTGGTATAAAGTCGTTTACTTTTTAAATTTTTTTTTGACATTTTAAATTTTAAGCTAAAATATTGAGAGCTAAGACAATGAAATTCTCATTTTCTAGTCAATTACCATGAAATCAAGAAAAGACCCAGATCCAGACCCATAAAACACTAGCTGATCATGTAAACTCAATTCAGAATTAAAGGAAAAATGAATAACTCCATAGAATTGTTCAAATCTATAGTTACAGAAGCGAATTTAAATCCCAAAGAATGAAAATCAAACCTAGAAATGAACGAATCCAGTTGATCTTGAACCACAAATCAACAAAGCGGCAACAATTCAATAAAATTCAACGATTTGAAACGTCCTCATAACCGAGTCCCCACGGACCAAATTCACGGCGGTCTCCGATTCAGTTGATGCAAGGCGGGACCCGATTCGCCCCCGAATCAATCAGAATCAATCGTCGCCGCCGGCGAAGTAGTTCCCGACCTGCACCAAGCGAATTAGAGTCCGCCGCAACATCAACTATACATACACATATATATAAATATGTAGAGAGAGAAAGAGATCTAATGTTTGCATGTTGTAATGCGAAGGAGAGAGAGTGAGAGAGAACCCTATCTGGTTGTTAACCTGATATATATATATATATATATATAAGAGAGAGGGGGGAAGGTTTGGGGAGGTGAGGGTTATTTATAGACGAGACAGACGAACCTGATACTGACACGTAGGCTTGGTCACCGATATTTGCCAACGATCCAAAGTGGGAATTCAAAATTCACCCGTAAGGCCGTTAATAAAGGAAAATGTTGGATATTCCCCTAAAACACTCGCAATCCGTCGTAATGATGGATTACTTACGATAATTTTTAATTTTTAATTTTTAATTTTTAATTTATTACTTATTCAGGCATAGTTTGGGAAGTTGGTTTTGGTGGGTTAAGGGTTAAAATAGTCACAAATAACAAAATAAGTTATTTTAGTCACAAAAAACAAAATATCAAATCTAATTCATAATCATTGCACTTCTCTCTCACAAAAAAAATTAAAAAAGTCAAAAAGTCAAAAAATCCTTCTCAAACTAGGCTTTTTAACCCAAGTTAAAATAGCTAAAAAATCAAAAAATCAACCCACTTCCCAAACATAGGCTTAATTATATGGGAAGTAGTGATACATTTACACAAAATAAGACCCTCCAAACACCGAATGAGGTGTCGAAGCTTATTACAAATTGAGTATTTGTTGGCATATATTATTTTTTTTTATTTTTTATTTTTTTATTATATATATACATTTATATAGATCATATCAATCAATATTTATTAACATTTTCTTTCTATTTTTCTACACATTTTTTTAATAAAAATTCAAAAAATACAATTATTTAAAACATCCTAAACTACTCCTCAACGTCAATTGCTATATGTTGTATGTGAAACATACGTAAAATAAAATACGTAAAATAAAATCTAAACTTTTGTCTCTTCCATTCACACAAATGACGACTCCTCTCTCTCTCAAATGACAATTCTTCTCTTTCTTCAAAGCGGCAATCACCCACCAATGATCATCTTTAACCACCATCGACAATTACCTTTCACCATTATCGTCACCAGATGCTCAATTTGACCCACAACTCTTCTTCTTTTTTTTCCTCCAAGGAAATATATTGCACCGGAGCTTCTAGTTTCACCTGTGATTGGTGCTGATAATGATTATCTAAATATCCACAACCCGTGATGGTCCTAACTCGAACTCGAAACTAAACGACCCTAATTTGTCTATCTTGAAAGGTAATTAAATAGGTATACCGAGATTAACCATTTGTTCTTCATTCAAGTCATCTTTGTCTTTTTTGTACATATGCAGTACATACAACCACGGCCAAAACAATAGTTGATGATGATGAAATTGACAAAACCGAAACTAAAACTTTATTTTTTTTATCTGTGTTTTTGTTTGTGTGTGGGTTTTTGTTTTTTGGGTGCTTTTTGTAAGGTGGGTTTATGAAATTTTGGGTATTTGAAGTATTAAAATTGAAGTTGTTAGATAACGAAAAGCAAAGTTTTCCAATTTCGATCCACGTGGTTATTGAAATTGTTGAGTGAAAGATTCATGATTTTGAGACTAGACAAAGGAGGGAAATCAGATTCGATGTCGACATTGGCTTGGCCGCCGTTGGGGTTATGGGTTTTGCACGGCTTGTAGGTGAAGGATATGATGGTCAAAAAGGCTTGGCCGCCGTTGGGGTTATGGGTTTTGCACAGCTTGTTGGTGAAGGATATGATGGCCAAAAAGAGAGAGAGAGAGAAAGAGATGAGAGTTTGAGATAAAGGAAAAACTACTGGCGCAATGGTCATTTTTTTTTATGTTACTGTGTGGCCACTTCGTTTTGGGGGGTTCGTAAGGCTAATTTTGTGTGGATGAAGCATTTTTTTTTTTAAAGACAGACTGGATGAAGCATTATTATTAGAATAATGTTATATGTATTAATTGATATATTAATTAGTGTATTAATAAATGTTGTGACATAATTTTAGAAGTTTTGAGTATTTATAATTTGTTTAATGGGTGAGATTAGTAATAATGTCATAGCATTTGTTGGTACACTAATTGTGCATGTAGCACCACCATTACTCTTATGTGGTACTTTACTTCCTTGTTACATCATTGGAGGTAGAGCTGTGTAAAATAACGCTCAATCCACTAAAATCGCACTGATCCGTATCAATTTGTACTGCTCTATCCGCTAACTGCGGTTTAAACTTTAAAATTTATAATTCGCATTCGAAACCGTTCTACTTCACTATAGTTAATACATATATATTTTTTACCCTATAATGAAATATCAAAGTAAAAATGAGTGTGAGAGAGATTTAATATGTGAAATTTATTAGAAATTAATAGTTATATATATGAAAAATATTATATAAAATTAGTTTGTGTTATATATGAAAAATATGATGCAAATTAGTGTTATATATTATGCAAAGACTTGATAATTTGTTAAAATATTCTTCAATCCGTCAATTTGTCCAAAATCATTCAAATCGCAATTTGTCATTTGATTTGTAATTTTACTCTCAAACCGTTCAAATAGTACTGCGCACACTCCTAATTGGAGGTGTATTTTGAGGGTCTTAAATGTGGGTCTCTAGCATTATTTCATTAATAAAATTCTCTTTATTAAATTTAGAAAAATATTTCATCCACATAATTTTTCACCACAAATCCCTTTGAATGATGTGACAAAAAAAAAAGCAAATTAATGACTCCTACAGTCTTCTATTTTCTCAAAATCTTCCGGCCAACCTTATCACGTCATTCGGGAAATTTGTGGGAAAAATTTTGTGTAGATATGACACTGCTGTTAAATTTATTTGTATGTATAACTATTTTGAGTAAATTACTATAAACTCACTTGAAGTTTGAAAGTTAAAAAAATAATATAATCAATATGACAAATTTAATATATTATATTAAATTTTTAAAAAATTAATTCATGAATTGTATGAATGTAAAAATAAATTTTTTATATAAAATTATATATTTTACTTTGTATATCTGTGTGTGTCATATTACAGTTTGACAAATGGAAGATAAATGGGCCAAAGGCCAGTATGTTTGGAACCACAGTCACTTGACTTAAATTGTGTATATATATATATATATGTTAAATAAATGTTATTAATTTATTTTTAAAAATTTATTCTTAATTAAATGTATACTTTTATTCTAATGTACATCATTAAGTGGGAAAAAAGAGTGTAAATTACAATTATCACTCTTATAATTTGATTTAAATTTTACTTTTAATTCCTATTGTTTCACTTTAAGATCAGTTTCAATTTAGTCATTTCGTCTAAATCACAATCATTTTTTTTCTATGCGCACATTGATGGAGATCAACACGTGTTACAAAACAATTAAATTTAATGTCTAATTTAAACGGAATGACAAAATTAAAATTAAACTTTAAAGTGTAAAAAACAAATTGCTCAATTTAAAATAATAAAAATTAAAAGTGAAATTTAAATCAAACTATAAGAGTTAAAAGTGTAATTTACTTTTTAAAAAATGATAAATTACAAATACACCTTTGAGATTTACTTAAAATACGAATTGTTCTATGTGATTTAAAAAATTACAAATACTTCCTTGTTGGAATTCTTCATTTAATAGAATTAACTAAAAAAATTAAATTTCCAACTGTTTTTCTATACGATAATAAAATTACTTGAATTATTAATTAAAATATATTTAAGACATTATTAAAAATTGTTAATTGACTTTAAAAATTATTTATAAAATGAACTATTTGTTATGAGATTAAAAATTTTAACGGGTAAAAATGAGTAATTTGTATTTTAAATAAATTTTAAAAAGTGTATTAATAATTTATTCTTAATTTTTTTTATTTATTTACAAAATTCATATAATAGACTGGAAAATTTTGAGAAGTGATGAAAGTGAGGGGAGAGGGGTAGGCATGGATATACAGAAACAGCACGTGCGCTTGATGTGGGGGTGTTAAAGATTACATACACATGGCATGCAAATCATGAGAATGAATGGGGAACCGTTAAAACAAGTTGCTTAGTTCTTTATTCTGCGCGTGATCTCCCTTTTTTTTTATTATTATTATTATTTTATAACCTCAGATATTTATGTTTGCAATCTTTTATGTGATTTGAGGTGTATGACACTTTAATGTCATCTTAATAAATTGGGGAGGCTTCGCTCTAGTTTATTGCCTAAATTGGAACGTATTGTTAGGTTTGTAAGGTATATTATAAGTTTTGTTTTAATAATTTGAATTGTTTAATGTATAGAATTCATCGAATATTTTATATTTAGAAAAAATAATATTGATCAGATATCGGTAGCTCGCTGATCGAAACACATTTTTGTCAATGGTAAATATGATTTTAAAAATAAATTATTAACAAAATGTGTTGCAATGAAAGGGCTACCAATATCGAATCAACGTGATTTTTGCAACCATGAATTACTTGATGAGTTTTACACATTGCACGGTTTGGATCATTGAAATAAGACCCGTGGTGGGCCCTACAGGCCTAACAGTATGCTTTAGTTCACACAATAAACTGGAGAGAAGCCTCTCCCTAGTAAATAAATATAAAAATGAGAAATATGGTGGTACACACCCTTCAAATGGTGTATTGTACCATATGCACCTTATAGCTAAAGAAGAAAATGATACAATTTCATATTTTCTGAGTGATAATTATAATAATAATAAAAAAAAAATCATAACCAAATACTACATGAGGCATAACTAAATATCACAAAATAATATCATAATTAAAGAAAAAAATAACATAACTGAAGGTGTATATGATATGGGATGTATATTGTAGGATTCTGCTATAAAGATGTATTAGGAAATTCTTTTTCAAGTACTTATATCCTAATTAGTTCATAACATATTCTTGCATTCCAATAAGTCCTATTATTTGGACATTTGATCCACAAAATCCTAATTCTCATAATTAAAAGATTTTATAAACAATTTTATCTTTACAAATATTTTTAGAACGGTTAGCAACTTGGTAATATGAATATTCATATTTTACAGTGTGACAC